GTTGAGTTTGGCCTGGGATTATCAGGCAGAAACCACTAGGGTCACCCCAAACCACACGTTGCCACCATTGGGGTACTGTCCTGGAAAAGTCTGGGCAGAGTGAGTCTTGCTTGACTTGAAGCTCAGTTTTTGCATGCCACCCTGCCAATTAATACCTCTCCACCCAGGCCAGTGTGCTATGTAATAGCCTTGAAAAGGAGCTGAGTTTGGATCCAGATTGTTGGGCAAAATCCAGCTAGTCACCCCAAAACACACATCTCTTCCACAGAGGGACTGCTCTGAAGAAGTCTGGGCAGGCTCCTGCCCAACCCAAAGCTTGGCTTCCGAGTCCCAGTGTTTCAACTGACAGCCCCTAAACCTGTTGCTAAACATTGACCTGAACAAGGAGCTGAGTTTGGGCTGGGATTATAAAGAAATATCCACTCTGGGTCACCCCAGACCATACATCACTGACACCAGAGGACTCTCCTGAAGAAATCTGAGCATGGCATTGCCTGACCCATAGCTCGGCTTTCAAGTGCCAGCCTTCCAAGTGCCAGCCCCTGAAGGCTGTGCGCTAATAAAGAGCTGCATTTGGGCTGGGACTATGTGGCAAAACCCACAGTGGGTCACCACAAAAAACATGTTTCTGCCATCGGAGGACTCTCCCTAAAAATACTGAGCAGAGTTCTGCCTGACCCAAAGCCCAGTTTTGAGTGCCAACATGACAACTGACAGCCTCTCAAACCATAAATACATTGCCCTGAATAAGGAGCTGGGTTTTGTATAGGATTATCAGGTCACCCCAAAACAGATGTCACCAACTCTGACAGACTCTTGTGAAAAATCCTGGGCACAGCATTTCCTGACCCAAATCTTGTTTTTCACATGCCAGCCTGCCAACTGCCAGCCCCCAGACCTATGTGCTATTTACATTGCTACAAATAAGGAACTGATTTTAGGCTGGGATCATGGGGGAAAACCCACTTTGAATCACCCCAAAACACGTCACCACCACCACCACCGAGGGACTCTTCTGAAGAAACCCAAGTATAGGTCTCTACTTGACCCAAAGTTCAGTTTTTGAGTGGCAGCCTGTCAATTGACATCAACACTGGAAGGCCTGTATATTGCTGTTCTGCCAGGCACTGGAGGGCAGTAAGAATGGCTGCATACAAATATAGGGGGCATTTATACACATTTTTTTTTCCAGCGATGCGCCAGAAATCTGCCACTTTGGATCAGACTCAATTAATCAAGCCTACTTTGCACGTGAGCTGAGGCAAATTGCACTGCGCCATGTGCAGTTGTATAAGCGGTGAAATGCACATCAGTGTGCAGAAAATGGTGGCGATGTGCTTTTGAACTATAGCACCTCCGAGGTGTTTTAGTTCAAAAGCATGCTGCTGCCTTTTTTGCAGCGCTAACATGCATGTTGCCACTTATACAACTACATACATTGCGGCGCCGGGTGCTTTTCAAAGCACTCAGCACTGCAACACATGCATGTGTAAAAATGCCTAGGGGTTTTACACTAACTTTTCAAATTTACCTCGAGCCCCTACCCAGAAACTTGGTAAAGTAAATTTGAACTGGATGTTCTAATGTGAACAAACCTGACCACTCACAAGCTAACATTGAATTAAAACAAGTTTATTACAAGGCAAAAGGGGAGCAAGGGTACACCCTAAGTAAAACCTTAACTATTAACCTTTAATGGCAGCTCAGAATTTGATCACAGTCATAGTCAGTGGCAAACCAACCTGGGGAACTACCATCTAGCCCAGTCACTTGGGAAGGGGGTTTCACCCAGGACTACCATCCAGGGGCTCTACCACCTGCATCAGCGTAGTAGTAAGTGCTGGGCAGGAAGGCCCACCCTGGAGGCCCTGCTGCTCCCCCTGCCAGGGGTTGCCACCCTTCTCCTGGGGCTCTGCCACCTATGCCAGTCAAAATAGCAAGGACTGGATAGGAAGGCACACACAGGAGTCATTGTCACTTTGATGCTGTTGAGTGGTGGTAGGGTGCAATGCTAGTGCATGCTGCTGTGGATGCCACCACCAACGGGTCTCCACTGCTCTGCCAGGAGTTTCTGTTGCTCCACTGGGAGGTCTCAGCTGCTCCTCCACTCCATCAGGGTATCTGTCACTCCTCCATCCTGCCAGGAGTTTCTGCTGGTCCTCTTCAGGTTGTCATGAAACCCCAGATCTTTTAGGTCCTGCCCTATATCAGTGGTAGGTTCTGGGATTTTTTTCAGCTGTTTTTACTATAACGAATCACCTAAACTTACTACATAGTACTGTGTTCAGAAGCACTTTTAATCCAAGGGGTTGAGTGAAAATGTCCAGGGAGTGACTCCTGCTTGGAATATCTCCCCCTTTGCCCACACCTGTGCTTTGTGCCAAAAGTGAGGGCCACACACTGCAGACTATGGCATGGATTACAACGGAGCTGACCTTTTCGTCACCTTTGTATAACTTGGCATCAGCATCAGACTTCACAAATATGGAAGGGAGGGCTGATAAACACAAAATCTCATTTACCTTTTAACCTGCCTCTCACCTTACTGCTTCTCTCCTGCCTTTACCATTGTGTACGTCAAACAGTATAACCCAAGACTACAAAGAGTGAAAACAGGCTTGAGGAGCCCTTCAAACCTGTGTACCTACTGCATACTAATACAGGTGTGCAGATAAGGAATTATAGAAAGTTTTCACTATGGAACATAACCTTAATCAAAGATGCAGAACATAATTGGGATACACATATATAGAAATCTAAATTTTTTAATACATATCACTATGAACATGGAACCTACTTGAATGACTTGGGACATCACTGCATTACTTGACTTTTTGGTTCAGGTTTAAACCATGCTAAAAATTATGCCATGGTTATCCTTCTTTGGTTTTTCTTATTAAACATGCAACAGTCTTCTCAGACAGAAATTTTGGCCAATATGAGAATTTTTGGATAGGCACCTGTCATGTCATTGCATTATGAATGTGTGATGTTATTCATTTAGAATTATTGTTTCTACTCTTTGTCTGTTATTATTTTTATTTATTAAGGTAAAATAAAGCACATTTATTTAAATTGCTTTCTGGCAGGAAATACCACATTATACATTTTCTCTCCTTCATTTTTTCTCATGGAAACATATGGTGTGTGTGTGTGTGTAAACTCACACTGATTTTTCCAAACTTAATATTTATTACCATATTTACTCAAATCCAAGACAAGTTTTTGTCCCTCATTCAACATGAGGAAAAACATGCCTCTTCTTGGATGCGAGTACCAGCAATCTTGTCTCCAGCTAGGTCCTGAATTAGGCAGTAGTACAGGTCAGGGATCAGGCAGAGGATGGGGCAGCAGTTTTCATAAAGATCAGGAAGAAGCGCATGTGAGGATCAGGTAGGGAATGGGGCATTAGTGTGGGTAGGGAAGGGCAGCAGTATATACTCAAGATTGGGCAGGAGATCAGGAAACAGCATGTGTTGTGGGATTGGGCAATAGCTTGCATGGGGGTTTGGGAAGCAGCAGGGATCGCAGGTTAGAGTAGCAGCGCACACTGGGAAGCAGATGGGGAACTGGGCAGCAGCATGCATTGGGATTGGGCAGATGTTGGTGACTGGGCAGCAGCAGGGGTGGACAGCAGCACGTGATGGGGATTAGGTGGCAGTATGGGTTGGGAATGTGGGGCCAGTGGTGGGTTCTGGGTCAGAGGACAAGTGACAGGGCACAGGCATGGGGCAGGAGAGCAAGGGGCAGGGGTCAGGGCTGCCTGCCTCCCCCATTCCGTGGTTGAGGACAGATTTAAGACAACCCTCCAATAACTAGATTCCATACATGGAAAATTACAGCAGATTATAGAATTATAATATGTTATAATTTTCCATGTATGGAATCTACCTATTTGGGATAGTTATCCTACATTCAAAGCCATTTTGGATTCAGGTAAATATGGTATTAATTACAAAATAAATTATCATAATCAACACACACTATTCCATTCAATAACAGAACATAGAAAATAGATGAGAACATAAAATCACAGTATTAGTATCAGTAGTAGTAGTAGTAGGCATCTATCCATCTCACAAGACAATAGAATTACTCCAAGTGAAACATCAGCTCACTGAACGTAAGCCTCCCTTGAAAGATAACACGAAGCTGGAGTGACCTCTCTAGGGCACAAAAGCCTGAGTAGTGTATATGGAGACACTGAGCTCTCCATACACTAGCATCCCTCCCTTGGCTTTGCAGGTTTAATCCAAAGGAAAGGCAGATACCAATATATTTGGAACCAGCCTGACTGCAAAAGGTGTCAGGTCAAAGATCACCCATTTGTCCATCTATCAGAGCTCCACTCCTAGCCTGAGTGCCAACCAGGGTTCAAGAGCCCAGTCTACGCAGTCAGTGGATTTCAGTTCCTCAACTTTTTGGTGGCATTTCCTCTGCCAGGGGTAAAACTAGTATCCCCTCTAAGGTGTTCTTCTGCACAAAGCCACCGGTACCCTAGAGATTGCCAGGTTATTTAACCGCTGCTCAGCACTCAGTGTTAGCAGGTAGTTCCAAACCTGACCTATATTAGCACCAGTACTGTGTTCTTAATTCCCCAAGTGAGAGTTTAGTATGTATTTATCTATCTGTGCGTGTCCTTGCTGATGTCAGAAACAATAAAGACATTCATAAAGAAACAACAAGACTTGGCACGCTTTCCTAAGAGCTCTGGAGAACTCTTCTTCAGATGCTGGTGTATCTCCACATCCTACCTTTTTTAATTCTAAAATTCCATCATAGTAACGCCAGCTCCAAGTCTCACCAAGTCTGTGGAAACACACAAAATGGTTGCTAGTATTGCATGTTACCTCAACTACCTTGTACCTGCAATGAGAAAACCTTTGAACGCTGATGAATTTGCAAATAGGTCTGTTGTCCTCTGTTGAATTGATCAGGACTGGCAAGATGTTTTATCTAGAAGCATTCCATCTACTTAAATACAAAAGACCTAAATACAGGATACAAGAAAGGCATTTGGGGGGCAAGAAAACAAGGTCTTACCATCTCTGAGAAGACAGTGATAGACATTTGAGAAAGCATGGTTCAGTAATTTGATATAGAACTAAATATGCATATATTTTTATTTTGATGTACTTAATGTCATCACAGCTACAACACAACTCTTACACTATCAGTTTATTTCATGTCATATATAGAAATCTGTGGTGGACAAAGCCAAGAATTAAATGCAACCTGAAAAGGCTTCTTTGGGAAGAGTCCCCCAGTGACTGAGTGGTGCGGTTTGGGGTGACCTGTAATGCCAGTCCAAAATCAGCTCCTTATTTGGTGCTATGTACACAGCACAAAGCTTGGGGGGGGGCAATCAGTCAAGAGAGAGGCACACAAAAACCAAGCTTTGGGTTGAGCAAGGGCCTATCCAGGCTTCCTCAGGAGAATATTCCAGTGGCAGAGACATATGGTTTGGAGTGACCCAAAAAGGCTTTTCATCCATAATCCCAGCCCAAAATCACCTCCTTATTCAGTACCATGTAAATACATGGCCCAGGGAACCATTAGTTGGCAGGCTGGCACGCAAAAACCAAGCTTTAAGTCAGGCTAGGAGCTACCCAAATTTCTTCAGGACAGTCCCCCCGGGCATGGAGATGTATGGTTTGTGGTGACCCAAAGTGGATCTTGCCCCATAATCCCAACCCAAATTAAACTCATTTGGGGAAATGTACACCGCACACATACCCAAAGGGCTGTCAGTTGGCAGACTAGCAGTGAAAACCAAACTTCAGTTCAGCCAGTGCCCTACTCAGACTTATTCAGAAGAAACAGCTGAAAATGTGTAGTTTGGGAAGACCTGAAAATGATTTTGCTTCATAATCCCAGCTTAATCTCATCTCCTTATTCAAGGCTATGTACTTGATACATGGTATAATTTTACAACTTTAAATTATTTAAAGTTAGCTTTGAAAAACCAGCCGTGAACCAGGAATAAGGAACTAGAGACTGAGACTAAAGAACTGGGAATTAGGAACCTTTAGCCTCACCCAAGGGGCACACACAGACCCATCCTCCCCACTAAACTTGGCTGCCCTGTTGGGGAGCTGCCAAAAAATCATGCTCCTTACATGAACTCCTATCCCCTAGAGGATTAACTCCCACTAGGTCTTGAGGGTCCTGCTCCTCCCCACCCCCAAGGAGCTTAGTCCATATAGTCCTCAATGTCCGTCTCTCTAACCCCCAAACACTTCTATCCCTATTTCCTTTTGCCCCCTGCTGATCTCTTCCTTGTCCATGGTCGACAACATCCTGCTGTAGATTCCACCCCTGCTGTGCTCCCTCTAGGCTCTCTCGCCCTAACAAACAGAGGCTAGAGCTAGACAAAGCCAGGCCAGTAAGACCTTCCCCCTGCTGTTTGCTATCCCTAGCCTCATGCAACCCCCTCTGTCTCCTCCAACACAGCCCCTACCCTCACTTGCTGCTACAGCCTTGCTATAGCTGTCAGTACCCCCAAGCCAGCCTCAAAATCCCCCTCCCAGGTGCCTGCAGTCCCCAGTGCAAACAAAAGCTGCTGTACACATAGTTTTTCCTGCCAGCGAATTCTGAGGAAATCATCATGCAGCATCTTCCAGGAAAACCAGACTGAGCCCCAAGAGGACTGAATTGCATGCAGTAAAAATAACTCCTAGCCACTCCCTGGAGGTCACTGGGATTAGAAGCTTCACCCTCAGGCTAAATGGAGCTGCCGTGTAATTAACCACAAATCAGAAACTGGGATGAGAGAAAGGAGGAAAACACCAATTAGGAGCCAGGCTTGTAAAAATATTTACTAAAGCCATGAACTGAAAGCCAAGTGAAACTCCCATGTGCTTTCCCTGGCAGCAGCATGCCCCCTGCTGGCCACACATAGCAGCTACAGCCATCAAGGATTGCAAGGAAATTCTTTAGATTACAGCCAGCAGTTTGCCTCCCCGAACAAAAATGCAGCCATCTCTGGGGGGAGGGGGGAAAAGGACAAGGGTTGCCCAACAGAAAATAGGAACAGGCTCTGTCACAGAGTTTGGGGCTGAAAGTGAAAGGCAAACTGCAGCCAGGAGGGGATTACTCAAATCTGACAGGGGCATGCTGCTCTCAGTGAGAGTACCATGGAGATTTGATGAGCACAATACCATAGGGAATATACACCCACCTGGAGGCAGTGCCCCCTGCAGCCAATCCATCATGCCATCAAAGGGGTAAAAGAGCTGGGACAAGGGTTCTAGCCCAACCTCCTGCAAGAGGACACTTCATCACAAACTACCCTGGATCAAGCCTTTGCTCCATTAGTCAATAAAGAGACACCACTAGGATAGGATTGGGACCTCATCCCTATTTGGGACAATGCTGCTCACTGGGAGCATCATCTGGAAAGGGCAGAGATAGGACCTCATCCACTCAGTAGGAAACAGCTCATCAGCAAATCTCAGCACAGGATCCCCTTGTTGGAAGGCAGAGGCCCAGTGCTGCTCATACAAAACTATCAAGGCTTTATTGACAGGGGACCCAGGGCTGAATCTAGGCTGCAGTCCAGTGCACTCAGGGCCTATCACACTTGCTGTCCAAAGCTGTAGAGGGATTCTTAAACCGTCCCAGCCCCCTGCTGAATCCGCTTCATCAGCTCCTCATCTTGCATGGAGAGCTCTGTCAATTTCTTGCCCATGCGTTCATGAATGTCCAGGTACTTGGAGACACAGCGGTCCAGGCATACAGACTCCCCTTTGGAGAGCTCAGCCTCCTTGTAGTGGGGGGGGACACACTTCCGGTGGCAGGCATTGGTCATCCTGGGGTACAAAGGAGGGAGACATTATGAGAATCTCTACACGCCCCTGCTCACCAGGCCAGTCTCCTTCACACACAGCACAGCAACCATTCCAGACATTAGTTCTTCCCCCACCCCGCTCTGTGGATATCTTAAATGGCCACTGCACCTCCCCTGCTACTGCATCCTAGGCTTTCCTTTCCACATGCACACAGCTCTGCTCACACTCTGCAGCCCCATCCCCTTGCCATCACAGATCCATACGCCCCACACAGCTCTACCAGTGTATTTCCATCCATTCACAGGCTCTCTGACATTTCAACTCAAGGATCCTGCTCACATACACACGGCTTTGGTGATGCATCCTAGGGGCCCCCCAGCAAGGAAATGGACACATGAGATATTCCTGCACTTGAAAGTAGGAGTCCTGTGGCCTACAACAGCCCACAGGCAGATATTTTCCTCTCTCTTCCTCCCCCCAGGCGCTTAGGAGCATGGAGTAAAGCCCAGAGCCCTGCAGGGGTCTTTGGACGGGGTCATGACCTGTTGTACATGTCAGCCATCATCTCCACCTCCAGCTCTGCTGCCAGCCGCTGCGCCTGCACAGGATCCATCGCCCAAGCTCTGCGTCCCGTGCAGCTGGGGCAGGGCCGGGATCTCCTGGAAAGGCACAAAAACTGTCAGTGCTGCCCCAGCCCCGGGCAGCGCCCAGCTACACCCGAGGCGGCGTCAACGACGACCCCAGCGCACCCGAGGCCGCGGGGACCCCGAGGAGCTGGCGGCGCCTCCCTACGGGGCAGCCCCTGCACCCTCTGCGCGGAGCGCGGTCAGACCCCAGCGGGGGGCAGCCTTGGCACCGTGCCCCCCCGCCCCCTTCGAGGCCAGCGGCGCCTCCCCTCCCGCCTCGGCCGCCCCCTGCCCGTGCGCAGGGGCCGGGCGACGGTGGGCGGG